GCACCCTGGCGGGATGGGCCGGTTTGTTTACCTGCCGCGTCCGCAGGTTCGGCCGATCGCAGCTCCCAGTGGCCGTGGTTTGCCATCCCAGACCAACGGGGGTGGTGGGAAACGACGGCCAGCACATCTCTCGGCCCGCGCCGCTTCCCGCCGCCCCCATTGGCCTGGAGCAGCGAACCACGGCCAGTAGGAGCCACAATCGGCCAGACCTGCACACGCGGCAGGTAAACAAACCGGCCCGGCCCCCCAGGGTGCTTACCCTGGCAAGCCGCATGCCAAAGGTTGCCGACCCCTGGAGTATAGTAAGGTCGACTGATGCGGTGATTTTTTTGCAACATTTCTATGACTAAAGTCCTAGTGTAGACACAGTTACATAAAAGTGCTTTTGCCGTGTAACTTATTTTGCTCAGGAAACCAGAATAAGCTATACTGGCAAAAGCACTTTTTGCTGGTACAAACTGAATATACACCAGGAGGGTTTGCCGGTACAACTAAACCGGCATAGCCATGCCAGCCAGCCTTTTCTAGTGTAGACTAGGCTCTGGCAGGGATAGCTGGGTCCTGCATTCCTGGGCACACAGATTGCCATGTCTTTGGCTTTCAGTTCCTATATTTCCTTTGAGTTTATTAGCCATTAAGGCAGCATGTCCTAATGATTAGAGCAAGGACCTAGGAATCAGGAGCCTTGTAGCCTATTTCTCACTGTGCATACCCTTGAGTAAGTCACTTAGACTGATAGACTTTAAGATCAGAAGGGACCATTGTGATCATCTAGTCTGACCTCCTGCACATTGCAGGCCACAGACCCTCGCTCATCCGCTCCTGTAATAGACCCTAATCTCTTGCTGAGTTACTGAAGTCCTCAAATCATGGTTTAAAGACCGTAAGTTACAGAGAATCCACCACTTACACTAGTTTAAACTGCAGGTGACCCAAGCCCCATGCTGCAGAGGAAGGCAACAAAAACCCAGGGTTTCTGCCAATCTGAGCCACAGGAAAATTCCTTCCCGACCCCAAATCTGGCGATCAGTTAGACGGTGAGCACATGGGTAAGACCCACCAGGCAGATACCTGGGAAAGAATTCTCTGTAGTAACTCAGAGCCCTCCCCATCTAGTGTTCCATCTCGAGCCATTGGGGATTTTTGCACTGGTAGTTGCTGATGGGCCACATGCCATTGTAGGCAGTCCCATCATTCCAGCCTCTCCATGAGTTTATCAAGCTCAGTCTTGAAGCCAGTTAGGTTTTTCACCCCCTCCGCTCCCCTTGGAAGGCTGTTCCAGAACTTCACTCCTCTGATGGTTACAAACCTTCACCTAATTTCAAGCCTAAACTTGTTGATGGCCAGTTTATATGTATTTGTTCTTGTGTCCACATTGGCACTTAACTTAAATAACTCCTCTCCCTCCCATGTATTTATCCCTCTGATGTATTTATAGAGAGCAATCATATCTCCCCTTCTTTTGGTTACACTAAACGAGCCAAGCTCGTTGAGTCTCCTTTCAGAAGGTAGGTTTCCAATTCCTCAGATCATCCTAATAGCCCTTCTCTGTACCTATTCCAGTTTGAATTCATCTTTCTTTGAATTCAACATAGACTAGAACAGCACACAGTACTCCAGATGAGGTCCCACCAATGCCTTGGATAATGGTACTAACACTTCCCTGTCTCTACTGGAAATACCTCGCCTGCTACATCCTAGGACTGCATTAGCCCTTTTCGCAGCCGCATCACATTGACGGCTCATAGTCATCCTGTGATCAATCAATGCACCAAGGGCTTTCTCCTCCTCTGCATGTGATAGGCAGCGTGGGGGTGATCTGGGGTTTTCGGCACATTGCCAGAAGCATAGCAACTTTCAGGGCCCTGAGAGGCCACATCAGCTGCTCACATGCTCCATTCTGCCAGCACCAGGCTCTGGTGCAGAGTAATGGGTCAGTAGAGTCATCTCTCCAGCACTCAAAATGACAGAAATAAGTGACTTGGATTCCACCATCAGGAGCAACAGGGAAAGGGGATGATCTTGTCCCAGCTCGAGGCAAATGCAGCCCTCAGTCTCAGTGCCGCACAGCTTTCCTTGCCCTCGCACGTGGGCTGGAATCACAGACAGGGTGAGTGCGAGGAGTTTCCAGAGCAGCAGGAGTGAATTCCTTTTGTGTGTGCGTGTGTGCACATGCGTGTGTGTGTGTGTGCAAGTGCGTGCGCCCTTTCTTACATTGCACAAAGGTTTCTCAAGGTCAGAGCCCCTAAGCAGCCTGGCCCTCTGGAGCCCACCAATCACTGATCTCCCGGGCCTCCACCTCCTGCTGGTATCACGATCATTGCTGGTGCCGGGGGGTCTGCTGTTTAGCACACAGTCGCCGGGAGGGGGAGAAGGGACTCGGGATAATATTACTCCAGCCAGGTTGGAATTAAGGACCGCAGGTGTCACACTGTCATTCCAGGCGAGACGGAAACACTCACAGGATATCACTAGCCCTTCCAGTTAGAGCAGCTCTCTGCATGCTCCGGTGCTGTACGTTCCTTGGAGTGCCTTGCCGAGGCACGAGAGATGGGTGTCTCCGTGCACACACTCACAAGCATGCACAGCCCCTTGGTGCCCCCTGTGTTTTCGGTCAGGTTCAGCTCCAGCAGGAGGGCTCACTGGAACAAGCCAGCCTTGGCCCACTCTGCTCCTCGGCCACTGTGGCTTTCCTGAGGCTACACAACCAGCTGTTCTCTCCTCCCAGTGGTGGGTGCTGCTCCTGTGAGCTGCTGGCTTTGTGAGTCTCCCGTGTCTCCTGGTGCACGTACCATCCTCAGAGGTAACAGTGGACTCTGTGCTAGGGTTACCATTCGTCCGGATTTACCCGGACATGTCCTCCTTTTGTGTGCTAAAAATAGCG